AATTTTTAATACGATTAACCAATATTCCTCTAAAAATCGACTGGTTGGCGGCACCTGTTATAACCTCATATAAAATGATAACTTTAAGTAAGTTCTGTTTGCAATTTTTCCATATTTTATCAAAATATTTTTAAAATAATCATTAACAATGATCATAAATGATTAACAATTTAATAATAAACAACATTACTGCCTGGAATGTGACGGAAAACAAATATTATTATAGTATTTTGAATAGAAGCAATGGTGAACAATTTAGACCATTCTTCATTATAATACATAATAATACGATTATCGATTCCAAATAGACTAATGCATACTCAACTATGGATGATATATATTTAACGTTTTATATTAATTAATTTATAGGTACTCGTCTTAGGTACTCTAATTGTCAATTTCAGAATACGGTCTTATAAAATCTTAAAAGGTACCGGGTGGTAACCGCGGTAACGCAGAAGCTGGCGGGTGGTGGGTGGTCTGCAGATATGGCGGCAAAGTTTTTGTGCGCTACATAACAGCAATATACTATTATAGCGTATCTGGGCCCGAGACCACCTATATAACTGCAGATGAACGTCACTGTCGGCACGTGTTTGAACTCTATCGTGCACCCTCCACCCACTGTTTCCGGATGCCGTTGACATGGGTTCACTAGAGGGAGTGGTGGTTGATGTGACTATGAGAGGTTGCAAACTCGCAGGTGGATCAGCACTCTTTGATACCGCGGGTACTTGCCAATTGCGCAGGAAATCGTACAGCCGAGAAAAAAAAATACATTATTAAGGAAAAGACTTGGGCGAGTCGATTTGTATTTACCACGAATCTGTGAATAACATTTCTTTTGCTTTTATTCAACTAGACAAGTTACAATCTAGGTTATAATACTTATAAGTTATAATATATGCAATAAGCAAATGCGATGATATACAATAGATTATTATTATTGTATAGGACGTGGTGGCGTGAGAGAAAGGATCGCCAAGCAACACTATTTTAAGGGTTTTATTTTTTTAAAGAAGGTATTTTGATTTTATTGATTTTAAGTACATACCATATTCCAGTATCAATAGAATAGCCAATTTTATTTATTTATTTATTATATAATTTAATGGGCATTAACTTTTACTGATTACTCGATGACACAGTAATTACAACTACTAGACGATAATCTATTACACTCTGTACTAAAATAGTAACACATTGTTATCATTGCCTTCATAGAACTGCCCCCAACATTTGTTATACGTAAATAATACAAGCTACATAGTTATTCATTAGTATTTTTCGACTAAAATAGTTTAATGATAATATGAAAACATATTATAAGCATAATAAATTAATTCATTTACATTGCATATATTGAAAAATTAATATTGAGGTAAATATTAGGTAACTATTGTACATTGGGTAGTCAAATTACAAAAAGTGGGAAAGTGGATATCGCTCTAATGTACATAAGGTGACTAGATGATCGCTAAAATGGATGGTATTAAATTTGAATTCAATGACATCAAATCATTGCATACGAAAAACGATTCTGAGCGGAGACGGTATGTCAGTTTAGGATATTTTACATTGTTATTACTTATTATTAATATGGTAGCCGGTAAGTTCAATTAATATTATTCTTAAATAATTATCAGTGACGCTGGAAAAGTATTATATATACCTATGTACAATTGGGCTATTTTGGAACCGAATTACAACAAAATGATAAACGTTATTCTTAAATTTAGGCTTATAAATAGTTCAACATGAGGCAAAATATTTTGAAAATTTTAAGGTGCATAGAGAATGCTGACACAAATATTCAGTGAAAATATTCAGTGCACGAAAATCATTATTGTTTAACAATATCGCTTTGACTAGTCATTATTCGGTCACTCAGGTGAGTTTTCAAACGGTTTTCGATGTTTGCCTATGATAGCTTTGCCTTGTATTAACAGAGCGTGCACACAATATGCACAATATGTATGTTATTAGTATATTTGCGATTCAATACCGCACTTTTTTTTAAGGAGTTTAATATTGATACTGCATGCGTTCACGTCGTGTAAAATATGTGCCAACCAGTTAGAAAGATGTTTATGAGATGTATATTTTGTAGCAATTAATGAGTATAATATATTAAAATGATGTCTTTAAATTTACACACACGCACACACACACATAATTGATTTGTATATTAAGTAGATGTTAAATCGTTTTCACTAATAAGTCGGATATATATTTTAGTTACTAAGTCTCAGCATTATCGAACATTTCGTTTGAAATATAAACAATGTTTAACCTTATTATGTATAGTTTTTTTACTGCTATTTGCATAATAATAAACTTGTAACTGTATTTTAGAGTCTTATGTTAAATGACAAATAATTAAAAATAAGCATATTGTGCCTATGACAAACAACACCATTTAAATACTATAAAAAAAATTAAAAAGTCAACTTACACTAGGTACTCGCTACTGAACATAAAAATAAAAATAACTATTCACACTGGTACACCGTTTTAGTCATGTATATTATTATAAAAAATAAAATAAATTGAATAATGTTACCATTATACGTTTTGATCAATGACAATTATGTTTTTTTGCTACACAAATCAATACTACCCAGTGAAATGTTCTATTTAATATATATCCCAAATTAGTTTTAATAGTTTGATACATTATTCGTATAGTTAAATTTAAAATAATAATTCAATTTTAAAAAGAAAAAAACCTCCACCATTATTGAGTTAGAAATTATAAGTTCTGATGTTTGATTGATAGGTATGACACAATATCTTTGTCCTTTGACATGTTATGAGTATTTTTCATAAATTCATTGCAACTGCAATCGATTTTTGGTTTGCTCTGATTCTTCATATCTTTCTTTGGCGTGTCTTAACCAGA